TGTTGAGCCTTAAGTGAGAAGTATTGCTTTCAGTCCGTTCATTACTCAACACATGGTTCAACAGATTCAGTTTCATTACGCCCCAGACACACAAATGGGCTGGGGTTTTGGGAACGTTACGTATGAGCATGTAATAAAATATCTATAATAATCTATTCTTTTATAAGACGCACACATCTTTTCACCTAACTGCTTAAGTGCTTTCCACTGAATTGTCACTTATGGCCTAAACGTGTTGAATTATGGTACATCCATAGAAAAGTAATTATGTCTCCATTGAACTATAGCATAATAGAGCTATATATAGTTTCATCTTGTATAAGTCATTCCATTTCACCATAGACAGTGGAAGCAACGGCATAACAGATCGTGGTGTTTCATTTTACAAAACTGTATGTGTTAAAAGAAATATAGAAAATGTGAAAGAATTGTATAACATTAAAAATGTTAAAAGAATATCTTACCACAAGAATGTTTACCCAATACTTCCATCCATCCGTTTTCTTCCCCTTAATTCATTTCTGGGTCGGGGGGGTCAGAGCTTCACCAAGTACACATAGCACCAGCCCCTCACTGATCCTCCTGCATGGGAGGGGGTGAGTCCACAGGAGCTGAGACCTTCCAGCAGGGGCTTCAGGCTAAGTGGGGTTAAGTGTCTTGCCCAAGGACACAACGACAGATGTCATCAGTGGGAGTCGTAAAGTAGATCTTGTGGTGGGCTCGAACCCACGACCTTCAGGCTCAAAGGCCAATGCTCTACCAACTGAGTTACTGTCGCTCCCTGTACCCAATACTTCTACTGGGTGGCACGGTGGCTGAGTGGATAGCACTCTCGCCTCTCAGCAAGAAGGTCCTGGGTTCAAATCCCGGTTGGACCAGGGCCTTTCTGAGTGGAGTTTGCATGTTCTCCCCGTGTCTGCGTAGGTTTCCTCCGGGTGCTCCGGTTTCCCCTACCACTAAAAAAACAAAACAAAGCTAAAGCAAATTCTACCTGTATATGTGACTGCTCTCGGAATTTACAGTACCTCAAGGACAAATCTTGGGGACAACCTTGTTACAGAGATGTTGTGTTTCATGTAGAGAATTCTTGAGATTCCCTCTCCAGAAAAGAGCAGCATTACCACAGAGTTGCATCAGAAATACAACAAATTCAATGTAAGAGGGATCTTGATCCTCTGGTGAAAACTACTTTCAAGTTTGTGTATTTCAGTGTGAGGGTCAACAATGTGAAATACAGTTCAAACCTTTGTTTAAATAATTTTAGTGAGGTGATAGTGTTGTAGCTGGAGGAAAGAGACTGATGCACTTACAGAGTCCTGTAAAAGCAAGATGTTCTTTCTAAACAAATCCAACTCCATTTTTTTATCGTATTCAAAAACATTATGTCTTTTGCATGCTTGTAACAAATATCCCAGGGAGTCACTATTTTGGCGTTTTTTCCGTCTGAAAAAGCTGATCCAAAGAGTGACAGAGGCCAAAAATACACGCATGTGAATACAAATGATAGAACCAAACTGAATTAGAGCCAGAGACAAACATTTTTCGTGGTTTGTGAAACACTACTTTTCTGACAATGTTCAAATCCAGGATTGTAAGATTGTATCTTCACTCTTTTTAATGGTCTTATTTTCCCTTGTATGAGTATTTCTTACTTGTTTTGTTGAGCACTTTGAGCTGCCTTGTATATGAACTGTGTAATACAAATACACTTGCCTTATGTTAGATACCCCAGCTGTAAGTCCTCCTATATAAATTCAATCCATTAAATCTATTAATTGTCAATCATTCTGGTGATACGTGCTCATCTAAAAAGACCAAAGATTTTTTTCAAAAAGTGAAGAGGGCGGTTCTTTTCTAAAATTTGGGAAAATCTCAAAAAATCCCTCCTATATACCTTCAATGATTTTAAAGGTAAAGGTGCACTTCTATCAATCCCCGTAGGGCAATTCAATCCTCTGCATTTGACCCATCCTGATACCACTAAGGCTCACGTCAAGAGCAGTGGTCTCACGAAGCTGGAGGATTGAACCTAGTGTGCATGGTTTTTAGTGGTAGGGGAAACCGGAGTACCCGGAGGAAACCTACGCAAACACGGGGAGAACATGCAAACTCCACTCAGAAATACCCCGTTGCGACCAGGATTCGAACCAAGTACCTACTTGCTGAGAGGCGAGAGTGCTATCCACTCAGCCACCGTGTGTGTTTTAGCAGCAATACAGTGGTGAGCTTCTATCCACACATACAATTAACAACCGGTAAGAAAGTAAAGCAATTTAATGACATCAAATCACCAAGTAACATTATCAACATGCAATGAGGCAGAATCTTTAGAAAACACAGAGGCTGGCCACTGTGGCGCAGCTGTAGAACGGATGGCAGTACAGTGGACCGAGTAAGGCTTGTTAGGACTGAGGTTACAGAAATACAAGTTTCACCACAAGGGTCAGTTAGCAGTGAGAAAGTGGCCAGACATTTTGTCACATGAAAACTACTCGGGCACACCCTTCAGTTGTGTGATAATGCACATATTGATAGCACAGCAGACAGGTCATCTTGCATCTTTTTATGTTTTGCAAAAAGCGATTCAACACTATCCATAATTCCAGCCTTGAGTTAGACTATATTCACTGCTAGCTCATTCATTCACTCCAAGAAATCAAGTGTTGGATGAAGTACAGTACTTGGTGGACTTTTAAGGACACCTGTACACAAACAGCGCCTGCTACATTTAAAGAGAAATCTATTAACATTCCTCCTAAAACATGTTGGAGTCAAAAGGATCCAAGCCGATAAACTCTGCTCTGTCCCGAAACAAATACAAAAAACTTGTCCTGTGTATTTCCCACTTGCTCATATTGGCTCTTTGCTCTGTTCACATAAACTTACTAGAAGCAGGAATGTGTGCAGCTCTGGAGATTTACAGCTGATAGAACTGTGTCCAAATGTTTTTTCGTTCTAAGAAAATAAAATAGATTGGCCTCTTCTCTATAAAGGTTGCAGAGATCAAAGAACTTGAAAAAAAGTTGTGGCTATAAGTCCAGCAAGAACTGTAAGGATACGCAAACAATTTCACATAACGGCCATGTTGGATTGAATTATATTATTAGACTTAAATGACTTCATCAATTAAATCCTGTCATGAGGGTTACAGTATGTGGAAAAGTTTGCATAACATTACATAACTTTTTCGATTCAATCCAACTCCTTATTTCTTAGAGTGTTGCAGCCCTTACCAGAGAGAAATATTTACAAACTGGAAACACACTGAAATGTTGTTTTGGTAAAAACCATTACACAGTAGAATATAATATAAGTATATAAGAATTTGTAAAATTGTAATACAAGATGGACCTAAAGTCACAAATTTGTTTTTCTTTTTTTTTCTCAAAATCTCTAAAATCTGTAAATTGTAAAAGGTAAGTATAAAAAATGCCTACACTGTACTAAGCATAATCTGGGAGCAATCCAAGGCTTGCGATTGTTTGATAGCTCTTTTTATAATTTGTAAGTTGGCCTGAAATTGGAGCAGTTTTCATCATGGGGTCAAAATGTAAGAAAAGCCGTCAACATGATTAACCCCTGAGCTGACGGGAGCACTCCAAAAATTCGGTACGTGTTGGATCTAATATAAGTTTTAACATAGTGGGGATTTTGACGAATAATTCATGATAATTGAATCCAAAAGAAAACAAGAAAGTACACTGTGCACGATATGTGAAAATATGTCCTTGTTTCTTGTCCAGTATAAAACCTCAGCAAACAAATAAGTTAATAGTCCTCTTTTTGTAAACATCATACATCATGTTCAATGTCAAAATCAGTAGGGGTTCCCTGCCTTTTCTGGCTTTTATAATATGAAAACCTGCGAAATTGGAATGACAGTCAACTAACATGACTAACAAGAGAGGTGCTGAAGAATTGGCAATGAAAAACAAAAATAATGAAAACATACATCTGCACATACATATACACTATATATACACAGCATTAAAGGGAAAGTCCAGGATCTAGCATAAGGAGGTCTGCAGGCTCCAACTTATTATCTACAATAGGTAATTGTCAAGGCTGCACTGAATAGTGAATTTGTTTTTGGCAAAGCTGCCTTCACGTTTGGAGGCTGAATGTGTAAGTAGTCAGTTCGTCATATTTGGCCAAACCCCTTTTTTAACAAATTACTTTTTAGAAGTAAGTAGAAAGATAAAAGAATATATGTACAAAGATGATCGATCATAGTCAGAGGAGACAAGACCTCCGCCAGGCCAAGACTGGTTTGAGTGGATGTAATGCAAGCGTGCTCCAGTAGGATACTAGTATTGTTTTAAAATACTTTTTCAGAGCAGTTTTTGAGGCTTGTGTTGAAAATACCCCTTGGCCAGGACACCCTTGGAAAAAAGATCTTTGAAACTCAATGGGATTTATACCAGGAAAATTCCATTGAGATTCAAATATCTCTTTTCCAAGTGTGTCCTGGCCATGAGGCATTCGCAACACAAGGCTTAAAAAATAAAACATAAAAAATAAATCAAAATCAACAAAACAAACAAAACGGCTTCAGCACACAAATGTAAACAGATAAAGTAATATATGGAAATTCATCTGGAGCAAAATCTATGTAATGTCCTATAAATAACTATTGTTTACTAGACTCACCAAAGCAAAAAGCTTAAATTCTCATTTGCATAATTGTAAAGTGATCTTTTGTCATTCTGTACAACAACGTCAGTAAAATGACATCTTGAAATCGTGCTGAACCATCTCCTTCAAACATTCAATACATTTTCAATTACCTTTTGAAGAGAATAAGTTTTGCACTCCCTTTAGTTTCATAGACCTTCTTAAATTCAATTCTGGACTATCATAATAAGGAAAAGCCAACCTGCAACTTGACAAAAGTAGGTTGTATAAAATGAGGATGGCAGTTGGCGATAGCGCGTTACATTTGAGACCGCGTGTGCGCTCGGTGCGGGAACATTGTCTGCGGCGGGCCCTGACAGGTCGGCTCACGCTGGGGTCTGAGCGCTGGACTTGACCTCAGCGGAGACTCTCTTCTCTTTGCGGCCGGCGTACTCCCCGATGAAGGAGCCGTCCTCGTTGAACTGCGCCTCCTCGTCCCCGTAGTCCACGAGACTGTCCCCGCTGTCCCCGGCCTTCAGGTCCCCGCACAGTGAGCGCTGGCTGCCCTTCAGCGGCTTCTCATCGTTGTCACTGCGAGAGAAAAGAAATGGGGACAGTGGATTTAGAAGCACCTCATTTCACCCATGGCTTCACACTGCGGCTTATTGGGCGTGGTGGGGGGTGTGGGGATGGAGGGAGAGGTGACACGGACTCGTGATATTCGACATGAAGCCTATATCTTGAGCTGCGGAGGGAAGCAATGTCCAGCAGAAAGTAGTAATTGTGTCTCTCTGCTGGACATCAGTGTGCTTGATAAAGTCGTGCCCAGGGGATATGGAGGATTTGTGGAACAGCATAGTCAGCCCCATGCAATGGTCCTGACCACATTTTGATACTCAAACATATATGAGAAATCCTGCTGCATGGCGGGATGCTATGGATGTTTTTGAACTGCCTGATATCAATGTGTGTTAATAGCCAGTAAAATGGAAACATTAGCATTTCCATAGAGTATATTTTCTAATAATAATACAGCATATAAAGCCATCATAACCTTTGATGAGAAAAATACTGTTGTTCGATCAGTTCAATAAAATATGAAGACTGGACTATATTTAAAGAATGTGCTTGATCAACTGCTAGGATAATGAATCTATGAACAGTATGAGTTTGTTTCATTGGTTGTTCCCAGCTGAGGCATTTGGCCTGTGGTGCAGTTTGTTGGAGACACAATGTTATATTTTATTTACCACAACAATACTAACTCTTGAAATATGAATACATGCCATGTCCTATTTTAAGAAACAGTTGACACTTAAAGATCCTATAGGTTCCTAAGGGTTCTAAAACTAAGGGCCTAGGATCGAGGTCAGGGCTGACAAACTCAGTTGGAGTTGAGGGTCGAATTCTACAATATGGTTTTCTCAGTGGAGAGTAAAATTATTTACTATTACTACTAACTATTGACTAATTGAAAATATCAAGAATAAATGAAATATCATTATTTCTAACAAAATGATCATTAAAATGTGGTTTGCCATGGTAACCACCAGCCACCAATGCTTAAATTAATGGTAATAGCTAAAAAACATTTTTTGTGGCAATAAGAATGTATTTGATGCTCTGACCTAGGGCTTGTTCAATGTTTTCACACTGCAATTAGGTGATGAAGGATTAAAGCTAACTCACATCTCTGATCGTCATTATTTTAACATGTTAAAAAAAGGTCTATTTTTGTTTTTGGCTATTAAAATTAGGAAGTTGGCAACCCTGCATTTCAAGGGACTTTCCATTAATCAATCCTAAATCTTGTTAAATTGGCCGTTTAATTCAGCAGTCAAAAGTGACCAATACCAATCAGTATCATTTAAGTCACTAAATGAAACAACTGGTGACATTTTGGAGGATTGTTTAATTCCTATTAGCGATTGGGCCTATCACACATTTCACAGAAAGCATATTTCTTGTCTCAATCACAAGAACAATCCGTGTCGTGCAGAGTGCTCTGATTAGAGGAGAGCACAGGGGCTACAGTGCCAGACGGTTATGAATTGAAGCAGGATTAATGAAACATGGACTAATATCAGTGCCTGGAGATGAGCCGCTTTCAATTGCACCGATTGGTTTTGGTCTCCTGCTGAGTGCTGGTCATTTCCAGTAAAAAGACCAATATGTACAAGGAGCAAAGGAAAGGTGAAGGACACACAATAAGAGAATCTATGACATGGGGTGTTATCACTCTGGTCATGTGTAAACAGCCGCCACTGTTTCACACATACAATGCTGGTACTCATCCAATCAAATGTGCTGAACCAAAGCGGTGGCGTGAGGAGCCGTTTCAACCTCGCCAGGTTGTCTTTTGGTAAAAGGAAGAATGAAAATAAATGTTACAGAAGAAGAGAAAAAAATGGTTGAAAAATCTCGAGAGAAATGCAAACTTAAAAACGTGGTGTTGAAGTGAAATATTCTTTGCTTACCTGTATTCACAGAAAGTGTCATCATTCATGCCCTGGGACTCCACGTCTGGGTGAAGGTCTTCTTTTTCTTTCACTGCTCACAGAATGAAGATGATATCAGACATTTCCTCCGCAGAGATTGACACAGCTGTGACATCACTATGTGTTCAGACTGTTTGCTTTTCATGTTTTCAGAGCGACTCATTCCCCCAGTCCCACCAACCTTTCAGTCAGTCAGTATTTTTATTTTTATGCAATCCAAATACATGGCTATGATGTTTTCAAAGAATTGCAACAAGTTTAAACAGTGAGAAAGCTTTATATGATTTGTTTTTGCCATAAAGTAATAGAATTCACACTGAAGATTCTTCAAACAGAAGACACTGTTTAATGTCATTCATTGAAACCGTTTAAAGGGGCATTTCAAAACTTTATGTGAAAAATAAACTTTTTTACATGCCATCTTGTAGTGGCTGTAAGAGTGGACATCATGGTGTCTCAGCTTTTGATCACAGTTGTATCTCTAGCACTCTAGGGTCCTGAAGTCCGTCTGCAGAGGAATCCTTCCAAAAATATGATCCTATGATGGAAATTGAAGGCGCCATGTTGACCACTCTTACAGCCAATGGGTCACTACTAGATCAAATAGTGAAAAATAGTAAATATTAAATATTTACTGCAAATATTAAAATAGTTAAGACCACATAGTCGCAGCCTCAAGCACAGGCAAGGTTCAAGGCATATTAAAGAATTCAATCATTTGAAGTATCTGTTCAAATAATATTTAACACTATTTTGTGCAGCCACACGACAAGTGAATCCACTTTACATCAGACAGTCAGTTTCAAGACTAAATAAACCCAACATATCTATTAAAAAACAGAAACATCTGTAAATAATGGGCCCAAGCTGGTAATTCCTGACCAAATCAATGTACTTAGCCAACTTTGTCTCATATGGATACAGGGCAACATAGATCGAAGGAAATGAATGGATATACATGTTTTTGGAGCTACTCGGATGGGTAATGAGGAGTTAATGAGAAAACAGGGGACAGAGGCTGCACCGTGGTTTTGTGCTGATGTGTGGAGCTCGTGGGCCGCTCCCCCCGTGCTGCCCATTAGCTGAGAATAATCAAACCCTGTAAAGACTCTGGGGTCCCCAACAGGAGGAATAACATTGAGATGGCACTGAGCTTATGTCATTATTCCCGCTGCGTCCTCCCTTGTGCCACATTTGCATTTCATCTGGCTCGCGGGCTTGTTTGCATTGTCGCTTGGAAAAAAGGCGTCTAAATAATGCAATAACCAAATGCCGGACTTGCGACTGAGCTCATTTCCCTATCAACACAAATCCCATTTATGTAGGAATTTGCATGAAAAAAATCCAAACATATTGGCTGACATATTCCAGTAATGGCTTCTTTGTTGTTTTGATTAATTCTGTCATATAGCTACAAATAGAATTGAAATGGTGCTCTTTGAAGCGATTAGCATTCGGGCAGGTGAAGAGCATATAAGAGAGCTTACCGGAATATTTGCCGCCTCTATTTCTGTTGACAAAGCAGGCGACCAGGACAATGAGGGTGAGGAGAGCAATGGCACACATGAGGCCGATGAACCAGCCCTGAGTCGAGATTCCTCCATGAATACTGGCCAGACCTGCGCAGAAGAGTGGAAGACTGTGACACATGTGTAGACTCAATCAAAAAGTCACGTAGGAATCCCACCAATATGGTCAATGTCAGAGTAAGGTCTCAAAAAAACAATTTGAAATGCATGCTTTGGTCTTTTAGGGTGCATCTTATGACCAGTAATGTGTTCCATGGTATACATTTGCCCTTCAACTTTTGATTAACACCTTCAAACCAATGTTGTTCAGAGAAATTCACTCATTCATAATAATGTTTTTTCACCTGATTCATAAAAAGTAAATAATCTATAACATTTGTTCTTTTTTTTACCTTTACTTGCTTTGCTTATACAACAAAAACAGCTTGAAAAAGGGGCTTGAAAAGAGCCATTGAAAGTTGGTTACCAAGCAACCAAAAATTTCTACATTTTGATTTAACATCCAGACAATAGCTCAGGTAGAAGTGCTCACATTCTAAAAATAAAAGTTTAATGAATGAAAATAATAGTACAGACATGAACTCCATATACATAGAGCAAACTTCATGCAGCCATGCAGACCATAAATGAACATGAGATGAGGAATTACACAAACAAAACTAAAAGTAGTCCAATGCTCTGGGAGTTCTAGTGTTAACAGTCCCCTCCTGCCCAAAAACTACTTCGCACAAAGAAAGTGTTCGTCAATGTAATCTAAGGACTCTCTCACTAAGTGTGTTTTCTACAATTCATAAATCGTAAATCCGGGGCATCCAACATTAAACTGATTGAATGAACAATAAAAATGTATAACGTGTTCCTATCTCTCATAACAGTTTGGTTCTCTCCCCCCGAGTTCACAATTCACACACATGTATTTAGGGTTCTTAGAAAAGTGATTGGTTTTTTAGTCCAAACAGTCAAACAGTGACTCACACAGCTCTTCCTTACAAGTATACAAAAAAGAATAAGATAAAGACAGCACAGTGTAGTCTGGTTTAGGCCTATTCAAATATTTTTACTTTTTTTCTGTAGGGACAAACAAAATGTATTTATTGCAATACAAAAGTAGCTACCCAAAAAAAGAAAAAAAATGTCATACTTAAAATGACTTCTTGCAGTTTGTCTAAGGATAACTAGGAGCGAATGATCCAGCCCTGAGTGGATATTCTATGGATACCAGCCAGAACTGCGGACAACAACAGTGCCTGACCTTGACACCCCTTGGCCTTTTCATCGAGACACTTGATTGAATGTTTACATCGACACCAGCGATCAGATGTGGGGGGGGGGGAGCGCTGCGATGGAAGGGATCCAAAATTAATATTAAACAGCTAATCCGCTTGTCTAATTAATCAAGTGGGAACGTTGTACAAATTGCGATTCCTTGCTGGCTAAATCAAATCCGAGCGACACTATGAGAGATCCCTCGCAGCGGCTCAAGGACACGGCTCAACAAGTCGCTCAGGAGTCCAATACCACTGCATCATGAGCCCTAGCGGAACATACTAAACAAGAGCAAGGTGCTGAGGACATAGACCAGTTGTGGGCAAAACCAGGCTCCTGGGCCAGATGCGGCCCTTTGGACGTTTCTATCAGGCCCATGAGCTCTCAAGTTCAAGTTCGTGGGCTGTGAGCTTCCTGTTCTGGAGGTTCTTTATAAATCCAGACTTTTAAACAAAGCTCTTAGGATTGTCAATGACTCTTCTGGCCACCCTGGGAAACCCATGTTCCAGCTTCTTCCCTCTGGCAGAAGATATCGTTCTCTGAGATGCAGGACATCTCGTTACGCTAACAGTTTTTATCCACAAGCTGTTATCAGTTTGAACAGAGCACTTTAATGATTTGCACTTGTTTTGAAACTGTTTTAGTCGATCAATTTCACAGTGACATTTGTTTACTGTTTTATTTTTGTCTTTTAATGTTGTTTTATGTCTGTATTTGTCTGTGCACACTGGTGACTTTTGCTAATATATTCCAATGTGTTTTTTTTTTACTGCAAATGGCAAATAAACTGAATCTGAATCTTTAAAGACATCTCCTTGTGCTGCATGCAGAGCTCTACAGCCGCAGTTAACATAATATATTCTCCAATGTGGCCTTCAGATGGAGAAGTTTACCCATAGTGGGACTGACCGATTTGGACCGGAGCCAATTTGCACATAAAATAGCCAGAGCCAACTTCCTTATCTGGGCATTTGTTCCGACAGCGTTTTGCGCAGTAACAGGGGCAGATGGGTTGCTAAGACAGAATTTTCCCTGTCTTAAGGATTGTAAATCCTTACATAGCTGGATATACATTTTTACATACAAAAATCTAATTTCACAAAGACACAGACATGAGACTTGCATACACATCTTACTAATACAAGCGCTAGTAATATCACTTGCTCCAATCGGCCTCTGCCTGTCACCAAGCTGACATTTGCAAAGATGTTGCCAACATTTACTTTGATATTCAGCAGAGAGGAACCTGGAGAGGGGAGGGAGGAAAAAGAAACCATGAGCAAAGGTTAGTCAAATATAAAGTACGTTTTTTGCGAAGTTAGAAGTGTTGAGGATGGTCCTGTTCACTTCCATTAAAGAGCTCTGACTTTCTGTGGATTTCCAGCTTTGTTGTTAAGGCATCAATTACGAGTGACAGAGGGGGACGACGGGTGAATCCCTCAGTACCAAACACCAGAAGAATGATGTGCCTATGGAAATGCGTCGCAGGTGGTGCTTGCAAAGTTAAATGAAAATCTACATAGGTTTCAGGCATATGTGATGAGCGTTCAATGCAGCGGATAATTCCAACGTTCGGAGAAGTGTGAGCGGAGGAGCTCCCTGATCTGCACATCTCCTGTTCACTGATTACTTGTCATAATGTGGTCTCTGGTGAATGCAGATATATGAAGTGACACATCCTCAATAGCAAAGCAGAATCAGAGAGTAGGAGAAGACTTGTTTAGTTGCATCATCAAGTTTTGAGAGATTTTAGAGAACAGATCTTAGACTTTTTGTGTACAAGTCTCTCCATGGCCTCCCACCAAAGTACATTCGAGACATATTAGTGCCAATATGAAGCAATTCGGACTCTGAGGAGCACAGGGACTGGCCTCCTGCTGGTGCCCAGAGTCAGGAGTAAAGATGGGAAGAAGCATTTCAGATTTACGTAGCTTAAATCTGGTACATTCTTCCTGAAATGGTAAATAGTTTGTGATTATTTATGTATTGTTTTGCTTTCTATTGTGTTTTGTTAAGCACTTTGATTTGCCTTGAGTATGAACTGTGTTAAACAAATAAACTTGCCTTGTCTTGCCCTTTAACCATACATTTTCGGTTACGTTTTCTGTTACATGCATAATCTCAGTCATCTTCAGTCTCTTACAATCAACACGATAAAGCTCCAGAAAGTCCCATGCACTGCTCTGTACTAGATTTACATAGAATACATTTGACACCATTGCGTTGGCATTTTGTCGCATATGAAAAAAAGTATTCTGGAAAGTTGTTGCTATTCATACTCAGCAAGCCCGACTCCTACAAGGTGTACAGTATGAAGAAAGACAATACTCATGGTTAGGATCGCAGACTGATAATGAAGTTGTTAGTAATGAAACAACATACTGTCTTTTTATATACGGCATTCTTGTCTCATTGTAGTTTCTTTTTTTTTCAGACATTAGCAGTCATCCTTGTTCAAGTTCTTACGTTCATATTTCAGTCCTTTCATTATGTACATCTCTCTGAATAAAGCACTTTTTGAGGTTAAGATACACTTTGCTCATCCTTCAATGCCACCAGCTCTTCACTGCTGAGTATACACCTGGGCACCCATCTCCAGATGTTGATGCTCAGCTTGGTCAGGATTTTTACCTATGGTGGATGTTTTGGGGGATGAGAGAAAGTGGAGCGCCCGGAGGAAACCAACAAGACACAAGGAGAAACATGAAACTCCACATAGTAAACCTGTGGAACCAAACTTGCATATTTCGTACTGTGGACCCCTTATATCTGTATTACTGCTAAACATTATTATCTGAATAACTGAACGCATTTGTACTGACCACATTGTTACTACATTATCTATATATTAAGCATGAGTCATTTATATCTCAAGTGATAACCTTCTGTTCTTATGCACATTGGCAGAAATCATATAAAAAAACCTTGTCTCCTTTTGTTTGCTGTGGAAGGAATCAAAAATAAACAGGTGAAAATGCCGCTGCCTTGCCTTAATTTCTCGACAAAACTAAACCTACCACAGTAAGCCAGAAAGGGAATCTTCCTGACGTGAGGCATGAGAGCATGAGAGATTAACTTTCTCAATTGTTGTCATAAAAATCAAAATGAGATATTCTGCCATAATCCTGCAACCTTTTAAGATAGAGGCTCCAGACTTTATTTTGGTGAAAGGCTACACTTGTACGCACTTATGTCCAGACTAGGCCCCATGCGGATTCAAGGTATAATGCCTACTTGTCTAGATTGAATGCTAATGATGTGGACTTTTGATAATCAGCGGGGGCAAATACAAGAGAATTCATAATGGAGTGAATGATGAGGATCATTAGTATGGGGAAAGTCTGCTTTGACAGCAGCCGCCTCGGGCCGGTCAACAAACTACGTCTAGCTCATTTCCCCACGGCAAACATGCAAATCTCCTCGCCGGGCTCCCGCTCAGGTGCCATATTAGCTCACACACCAACACCTGCATCTGCGACGCTCTTCAACCACTACAAATGACACGCCGACTAATGGTGATGGATATCCCTGCAGTGGTGCTAACTTAGATTATTGACAATGTGTGGAAACTTCTTACCCTGGACTATGACACTAACCAATAAAACCTCAAGTTAGCGCTGCAAGATACTTAGAAATGTAAGTGGAATTTGTTTTGATGGTTGCCATTAGTCGTAAATTTAAACAATTATTTTTCAAACAAATGGGTGTACAGTATGTAGATGTTTGCCCCTCAATGTTCTTGCTCTTCTTCGTTTTATATTGATTCGAGCATAGATGTCTTGCAAGTAAAATTACCAGACATGAAAAAGACCCTTACCCTTACA